CCACCGTCATGGTCGCTCCCTTGTTCGCCTTCGGCCAAGCACTTGCACAGGCCAGTACAATCTTCCATGTGTTAGGCATTAGTTGGCCTGGCGCGACTTTTAGTCGGTTGAGGACATCCACTACCACTTGTGGAAGCGGCAACCTCAACCCTCCCTTCAACGCCTCTTCGTATACGACAAACTCCTCCGGCTGGGCGTCGGAAGGCCTCTCCGTTACTGTCGGTAACATCAACTCTATTTCTTCAGGCACCTGGTATTTTCTCCATATACACTCTAACTCCTCTGCCGTAACGGTTGACTTATCAGCCTTCGTATGCCAGTGATCTGGCTTAGCCTGGCTGATTGGTTTCGGAGCCGCTATCATCGTCAACAGACGAGCTAAACTCGCCGGCTTCCCTGATTTCTCCACTTGCCTCTCCCTCCTATATCGTTCTGCCAAGTCCACCGCGTCATCAATCCCTAGGGGATCAACCCTTGTGGTGGTTGCTTCCTCTTGTGCGATCCCTATTGTATGTCTTCGAATAGCTTCGGATGCGGGCGCAAGAAAATTCCAGAAGTGTTGCAAGGGTGTATCGTTGGCAACGAAGGAGTTTACGCTGGGAATGTTTTGATGTTTTGCGAAAAGATAGGTAAAGCGAGTAATTCCAAAGGCCCAAGGTTTTCCCGTATTCCAAGCGTCCCTATTAAATTTCGCCAGTTTGAAAATTTTTCAAAAAATCGCCAACATTGTCTTTTTAACACCCTATAATGACCTATCATTTCACTCCTGGCCCAACACCTGACCTCCCCCCACCAGATGCTGCCACGTGTACGACTACGATTCACTGCCCCCCTTCTTACTTTCAGTCGTCATGTGACCCGCTGCCTCTTGAGCCCCGCGCCCCGCCGCCCTACCCTTCACGGTCGGCCCTCCTTATGGTCGGTCCCCCCGTTCGTTTACCCTTCATAGTCGCCCCTCCTCATGGTCAGTCCCCCCGCTCGTCTACCCTTCATAGTTGGCCCTCCTCACGGTCTGTCCCTCTACTCGGCCACTTCTGGTCGGCCGTTCCTTTCACTATTTATTCCCTTCGTTGAACTAAAGCTGCACTTGGGAATAGGGGACTACTGATGTGGATAGACTCATAAAGCCCATAACCCACTGTGAATAACCCAAGCCTACCACTTAGGGCCCAATGCATAACCCAACTGATATGGCCCAGCACAGCTAGAAGTCAACATGACATGAAAGACCAATGATATTCGGACACGTGGTAGGTAACGGGCAAGCCACCTTAGTAGATAAAGATCTACAAAGTTATTGCCATTGCACATTACCATTAATGTAGCCCCTTACAGCATTTATTACGACAACACCTCTCTGTCGGGATAGCACGCCCTCACCCTGAACAAGGCAAGCTACAGCATAGACTTTTGGCTAAGGTAACAGGTCGGACGGGACAACGAAATGATTACAAAAAGATATAAGCAGACGTTGAAGACAAGAAGAAGGTTAAGTTCTCTATTTCTAATTCATATCTCTACATTCCACTTCTCTCTTTAACTTGCTCGTCGGAGGGTTTGTTGGGGGACTCCCTGTTCCCCGTTGAACTCCTGTGCAGGTTCTCAGGTGGGCTTGGTCATTTAGATATCGGTTGGAGAAGCGTGGACCAGTCTGACCCATTCCCTTTGGAACCCGTTGTATCGTAACTCTCTCATCAGTTTCAGTTTTATGAATTAAGTTTTTTAGAAATTGAGTTTTTTATTTTTTGTTTTTCGTATTTTTTTTTATTTTTAGTGAATATTTTTAAAATTTTAAGCAATCTTTTTATTTTTTTTTTAGATACACTTCACTTAGATGTATCTAAATAGTAAAATATTTGTGAAAAAATATTTTAAAAAATTAATAAATACACAAAAATATGAAAAATGTATTTTTTTTTGTATTTTTGGTATTTAGTGAATTTTTTCACAAATATTATACTTTTTAAGTGTATTTATGTTAGGTGTGTCTAAAAATTGAAAAAAAAATTTGATTAAAATATTAAAAAAATTCATTAAAAATAAAAAAAAAACGAAAAAAAAACATAGAATATTCTGAAAAGTGTTTTCTGGAAACCAAAACCAAGCAAGCAAATTGTTATGTTTATTACAATTTAATGCAATACTATAAACATTATTTATAAACTCTCAAACAAATATAAGGAAAATAAGATATACACACAAGTTAGAAAAATTAAATTATTAATCTCATAATGAGGTATAGTTATGTCAAATGAGTTAATGTCCCTCATTAATCCAAAAATATATTATTACTAATCAAATTTATGGCGATGGCAATTTAAACTCGACCTGATGGGGACTCGCCCCTTGACCACGATTAGAACAGTTTTTATTCGAAAAATATTCCTGACGGGCCGAGAATGGTATTCGAAAATGAATCCCTGACAACTTTTGGGTCAAGGACGATGATAGGTTCTCCCACCGTGGTCCCGACCCGTCACCGTCACCATTTCCGTCCTAAATTGAAATTACTATTATACCCCTCTATATATATGTGTACGTTTCTCTAGAAATTTTTTAAGACACTAATTGTTGTCTTTTCTTCATTACTTTTAAGTAGGGTTGTTCATTTTAGCTTCCTCTTCTTTTATGCTTTCTCGCAAATAGTCCAAGACAAAAAATATGTTTTCTATTGTGCAGTCAATCGTCCCTTTTGTTTATTTTGTTGTTTAATAGCAACACCATTGATTTGTTACAGCGTTTTTCACTATGGAAAGTATTATGGTATGCATTTTATGTATTGTGAAGCCTAAGCCAACTGTGGGTTTCCAATGTTCTATTAAAAGTTCAGTTGGGTTAGGTTCATCAGGTTCTTCATTTTGGAGGATATGCTTAATAAAGTTTATTTTAACATGATCTGCTGGGGAGCAGGGAAGGACCTCCAGCACCTCCCACCTCCACGTGGGGGCTGGTAATGGATGAAAAAAAAAAAAAAAAAAACGAAAAAAAAACATAGAATATTCTGAAAAGTGTTTTCTGGAAACCAAAACCAAGCAAGCAAATTGTTATGTTTATTACAATTTAATGCAATACTATAAACATTATTTATAAACTCTCAAACAAATATAAGGAAAATAAGATATACACACAAGTTAGAAAAATTAAATTATTAATCTCATAATGAGGTATAGTTATGTCAAATGAGTTAATGTCCCTCATTAATCCAAAAATATATTATTACTAATCAAATTTATGGCGATGAAAGGGATGGCAATTTAAACTCGACCCGATGGGGACTCGCCCCTTGACCACGATTAGAACAGTTTTTCTTCGAAAAATATTCCTGACGGGCCGAGAATGGTATTCGAAAATGAATCCCTGAAAACTTTTGGGTCAAGGACGATGATAAGTTCTCTCACCATGGTCCCGACCCGTCACCGTCACCATTTCCGTCCTAAATTGAAATTACTATTATACCCCTCTATATATATGTGTACGTTTCTCTAGAAATTTTTTAGCCTCCGTTTGGGAAGTGGGTTGGCTTTTTGGCTTTTTAGCTTTTTTGGCTATTTTAGCCTGGGCTAAAAAGCTTGGTTTGGGAAGGACTTTTTGACTTTTTGGCTTTTTTGACGTTTTTTGTGAGAGAAGAGTGTAATGATTATGGGTTGGATGTGATGTTTTATTTGTTATGGCTAAAATAACCTATTTTGTTTTTTATGGCTAAAATAGCCAAAAAAGCCCAACCAACTTCTTCCCAAACGGTTTTAATTCATTACTTTTAAGTAGGGTTGTTCATTTTAGCTTCCTCTCTTTTATGCTTTCTCGCAAATAGTCCAAGACAAAAAATATGTTTTCTATTGTGCAGTCAATCATCCCTTTTGTTTATTTTGTTGTTTAATAGCAACACCATTGATTTGTTACAGCGTTTTTCACTATGGAAAGTATTATGGTATGCATTTTATGTATTGTGAAGCCTAAGCCAACTGTGGGTTTCCAATGTTCTATTAAAAGTTCAGTTGGGTTAGGTTCATCAGGTTCTTCATTTTGGAGGATATGCTTAATAAAGTTTATTTTAACATGATCTGCTGGGGAGCAGGGAAGGACCTTCAGCACCCCCCACTTCCACGTGGGGGCTGGTAATGGATGAAAAAAAAAAAATAAAAATTTTTTTGGACCAATTAGGAGAGACCCTCAGTACCCCGCTGGGGTCTCATGCATTTTCCTTGCTTGAGTGGCCTCTTTCACCATATTTGATTGTTGAACACAGGGTTCAACATCCAGTTTTTTATATATATTATTTTTATTAGTCTCAACAACAAAAAAAAAATAAAAATAAAATGGGATATGTAAAATTAAAAAAAAAAAAAAGGTCAAAGTTTTTTCGGAGTAGGGGAAATTCGATCCTCATTATGAGGTGGGGAATGACTGGTTCCCTATCGGGAATCAGAGGCGGGAATAGGAACGAGAACGGTGATACCTTCGGGGATCGAGGACGGAGAGTGTAATTTCCGACCCCGCCTTGACCCGTTATCATTCCTACTTTTGTGTGAAAAAATAAAAGTCCGAAAATGTTAGGTCCAAAAAATTCTACTAAATATTTTACCAAATATCTTACATGAATGTAAATTCCACACTTATGTGCGACCCACCCCATTAATATTCTTAACATTACTCATAAAAGTCCGTTAACTATAGAGGAGATTCTTGTCAGAGAAGTCACGCACATTATTCGGTTTGAGGGTGTATAAGATAATATAAATAAGTATATTTTTAAAAATTTTATTGTCTCAAAAAAGATTTTAAAAAATGTATGAATATAAGAGATGTCAAATAATATTTTAAAATAATCAATCAAAAAATAACATAAATTAAAATAATTAATAAAATAAAATATTACATTCATTTCATAATTATTTTATTTTCTTTCACACAATTATCAAATTAGTTTAAAAAAAAAATTAATTAATTAACTTTCAAAATAAAACTTTTTTAATCATGTTAAAACAAAAATTTCCCCAAGACCATAGGGGACGACTACAACGCGCTTCTCTCTTGGCTTTCTCTATTGTCTCTCTCTCTCTGGCAGACATCCCTAACCTTCGCAGAGCAAAAAAGTCGACGAGAAACACTCTTCTGCGTTCAATACTTGGATCCGCAAAAACCGTTGTGGAGTTTCCTTCAATTCAACGCCACAGAGTCAATCGGCTTATCCATCTCTGAATATAGCTCCATTTTCGCACCCCTCTCTCTTCGGTTCTTGCTCTCTCTGGTAAATCCTCCTTCTTGTTCTCTCTGCTCTTCCGATTCTCTCAATCATTAATGGACCCCAAACCCTAATTCCACACTAGTCCCTCACGATCTCATCTGGGATTCGTGTTTCACCTTCTTCTTCACTTTAACCATCTCTAGGGTTTCCAATTTGTTGACTTTTTTTTTCTTCTTTTTTCAAGTTTTTTGATTTTTTAATTTTTTGTTGGGATTCTCTGTTAAACAATGGATAAATTGTTGTAAAGTTTTAGTTTTTTTTTTTAGTTTTAGTTTTTTTTTTTTTTTTTAAAAATTGAAATTGGCTTGTTGAAGTTTTAGGCTTAAAAGTTCAATAAATCAATTTTTAGGGTTTGTTTTTTGAATTTGAGTAGTTAGAATGGCGTCGGGCGGTGTTGCAATTAGTCCAATCCGGAATGCGGATGCACTTCCGCCTGGTTACATGCATGACCAGCTTTTGGACGAGTCTATTTTGATCTATGTGGCTGTGTCTGGTTCCATGATTCCGATGCGGGTTCTGAAGTCTGATTCAATTGAGTCCGTTAAGCTTCGGATTCAGACTTATAAAGGGTTTGTGGTTAAGAATCAGAAGTTGGTTTGTGGAGGTAGAGAACTGGCACGGAGTAATAGTCTCGTTAGGGAGTATGGGGTGACGGATGGGAACGTTTTGCATTTGGTTCTCCGGCTCTCTGACCTTCAGGTCATCAATGTTAAGACTTCCTGTGGGAAAGAATTCACATTCCATGTCGAAAGGAGTCGAGATGTTGGGTATGTCAAACGTCAGATTGCTAGAAAGAAGAGAGGTTTAGTTGATGTTGATGATCAAGAAGTCATATGTAATGGTGAATGCGTCGGGGATCAGAGACTTATTAATGATATCTGTAAAGATAATAATGACGCTGTGATTCATTTGTTTGTTCGGAAATCTGCAAAAATTAGGGCTAAACCTGTGGAGAGAAATTTTGAGTTGTCCATTGTGGCACCGCAATTGAATGATAGGAGAGATGACAAAGTGGATGGGGAAAGTGGGTCGGGGTCTGATACTGAGAATAATCTTGTTGCACCTAGAGAGCCTCCCGATAGAGATCTTTGGTTGGAACACCTGGTTATTAATCGGAATATTGAAATACCTTTGGTCCTTGAGAATTTGCTTAACTCAACATTTGATGGGTTAGATAGAGGGAACTATCCAATTAGGTCTTCAGAAGGTACAGGTGGAGCATATTTTATGCTTGATGCATTGGGCAAAAAGTATATATCTGTTTTTAAGCCAGTAGATGAGGAGCCTATGGCTGTGAACAACCCTCGAGGGCTGCCCATTTCAGTGGATGGTGAAGGACTAAAGAAGGGAACAAGAGTCGGGGAAGGTGCATTGAGGGAAGTTGCTGCCTACATTTTAGATCATCCAAAGAATGGGCGACGCTTTATTTGTGGGGAGGATAAGGGATTTGCTGGGGTCCCACCTACAATGATGGTCAAGTGCTTGCACAATGGATTTAATCATCCAGATGGTTTAACTGTCAAGATTGGGTCTTTGCAGATGTTTATGGAGAACCATGGAAGTTGTGAGGACATGGGTCCTAGTGCTTTCCCAGTGGAGGAGGTACATAAAATCTCTGTGTTGGATATAAGGATGGCAAATGCAGATAGGCATGCTGGGAACATTTTGATGAGCAAAGGTGAAGATGGCCGAATTGTGCTGATTCCAATTGATCATGGATATTGCTTGCCTGAGAGCGTGAGTACTCTTCTTCCTCTTTTTGTGTTTCATTTTTTGCTTGATTATTGTATTAATTTCAACACTTATAATTTCTGCTATTTATGGATTTATTAGCTTCATTCTTGAGTGCTTTTGTCAATGGAATGGCTTTCCTAGCTTTCTTTTTTCTATATAAAATTGAAGTTTAGTAGTTATGACAATAAAATTCAAGTCTCATCAAATATTTTTGTAAGGATCTGGAATGCATTTTGAATGGTGACATGGTGAATTTATATGTTATTTGTCTATCTAGTTGCTTGGAATTTATGTAGATAAGTTCGGTAGATAATAAAATAAATGTTTCCCAGGATGTGCAATAATCTACATGTAAGACGTTCAAATTGAAGAAATTACAGCAACAAAGAAAATAAATAAAAATACAATTCCCTAAATAACTTAACTTGAATATGTCACCTCTACAAACTCTTCAATAGAAAGTTGACTCATGAATTTTGCTTCCCCAAAGAAAGGCCATTTCTGAGATGCAAGAAATTTTCTGTTCTTTCCTTTTCATGCCCATTTTACTTGCATACAAATTTTTCTACAACATTTTGAAAACTCAACAGCCGTTCTCCTCACAATCTCATCAATACCTTTTATACTATGTGGATAAAAAGTTATTCAAGGAAAATCCCTTTCCTCCCTCGAAAATTAATCCCTGCTTAAGCTACCATACTTTCTTTGTTAGATTTGTCTAAAAGCTTTTTTTTCTGCGCTGTTTGTTTATATGGCTAGTTTTTCTCATTGACAAGAACAAATATTTTCACAAGCTTCAAATTGTCGTTGTCTTTACTAGTTAGGAATCCAATTGATTGATTTGGAGAATTGCTGTGTCTGAAACTTTTTGATATTTTTTTTAGCTTTATGTATGTCAGTAAATGCCTTGGCTTTATTAGTTGCCCTCAAATTTTTTTTGCCACTGCAGTTCGAAGATTGCACGTTTGACTGGCTGTATTGGCCACAAGCTCGCAAGCCTTACAACGCGGACACTATTGAGTACATAAAATCACTGGATGCTGAAGAAGACATTGCCCTCCTGAACTTATACGGATGGAATCTGCCGCTTGAATGTGCGCGCACGCTCCGTATCTCCACCATGCTTCTAAAGAAAGGGGTGGAGCGAGGGCTTACTCCCTTTGCCATTGGAAGCATCATGTGCAGGGAAAGCTTGAAGAAGGTATCTGTGATCGAGGAGATTGTCCAAGAAGCATTGGATTCTGTGCTCCCTGGCACAAGCGAAGCCGCTTTCATGGAAGCAGTCTCCCACATCATGGATCACCACCTTGAGAAGGTTGCCAAAAAAATGTCCATGGAGAAAATTGGGTAAATGCATGTCTATATGCACATATGTTACCGTACATTGCCGAATATAATTTTCTTGGGTTGTTTGTTATTTTCAATTATTTCAGCAGTTAATGCACAAATAACTTGAAGAGGTTGAACCGTAAGTTCATACCTTGATTCATTTGCCAAATTATACTCTCTATTTTTTGGGTTTGATATACAATTTGTTGAACTTGTGTTGAGGACAAAGTCATTGTCTTAAATAATATGTACTTATGATAGCTAAGGTATATGGAGAGAGCAGCTTGTTTATTTTCTGTTTTTGGTAATTTTCCAATCTTGTGTTATTTATTGTTTACTTTTTCAAATCAATATTGTGCTTATTTTGTTTCCTGTTCAAGGGATTTGGATTACAAAATAAGGTTGTAGTCCTGGTCCATCCATAAAAACTAAAGCTATGGGAGCTTGAATTTTTTTGCCCCATATTTATTGGATTAGCAGATATGTTGTTCCTTTGCTGAAAATTCTCACAATTTTTTTTGGCACCAGATTGGAATAAAATCGGGTAAATCATTCAGCATACCTCACAAAGTAGAGTATTAAAAGAGTCAATCGGATTATGAGATTGTTCTATCTTTGGTTGAGTTTCAAAATATGTTTTCCAAACAAATTTCAAAAATTAATTTTGTGAAAAAATAAAAATGAATTATTTTTATATGATTTTTTCTTATTTCGGAATAGAAATGATTTTTGAAATTTTTTAAAAAATATTTTTATATTTATGTTTTGTCAAATTAGATTTTAAAAAAGATTAAAAACTCAATTAAACAAAATTATTTTAAAATATGTTTAAATTTGATTTATTTTACTTTAAGTTGTCCATTTAAAAATTTTAAAACTGTCAAATTATGTTTAAATTTGATTTATTTAACTTTCAAATAACTATTTAAAAAGAAAAGAAAATTGACGTGCTCATTTCAAATGATATTTACTTAAGTTTGGATTATGATTTATTATTTATTATTTTAATGTAATACTAGAGTCTGTAAGCTTATCGAGAGTTGAATTTGAAAATTGTTCAAGTTAATTAATTTATTTAAAAATTTTATTTTAAACTAATCCAACTCAGTTACTCAAATAATTTGATTTGGATTTACCACAGGCTTTTGGCATTTTTTAAAAAATGAAACAAAATTTGATGATATTGAGGGCTTATTTGGGAAATTAGTTAAAAGTCAATTTTGAACTTTTAATTTATTTTGAATCATATCACATTTCATATTTTTTATTTACTAAAAGACAAAAAAATAAATAAAATTTAAAAATTAACTTTTAACCAACTTTTTAAAACACGTGATATTTGCCATGTGATGGGCAATAATGGATCCCATCTTGTTGGTTTCTGTAATCTTTACTTTGTACCCAATTCAATATTAGAAAACGGTTGATATGGTTGATTGAAAAAAAAAAAAAAAAACTCTCACAGTTTAATTTATAATTGTATGTCATGATATATATATTAATTTTTAGTTTGTTATATACTCAATTGTATAGGGTCTACTTTTATTATCACATCATTCTGAATAAATTGAAAGATCTAAATTATGAGTCTATAGCATTATTCTTCAAAATTATAAATACTAATTTATATATTACATAAGCAAAAAAGATTTCTAATATGAATAATTCTTATGCCTCTAAAGCCTCAAACTAATTTTTCTGAATTTTTATAATTATAAAATTTACTGTATTTCTTACATGGTATACTCCTCCCACACTATCCTTATTTGTTTTGACTTTTTGAATTTAAAAAAAAAAATCCAAACAAAGGCACAATCCTTTTAAACTCTCTCAAATAAGCCGTCTTTCCTCCCCTTTCTCATTTACGTCTCTTTTAACTTTCCTTTCCTCTTCTTCAACTCATCCTTCGAAGTTTCCATAAGTTTTTGAATCCAAAAATGTTAGAGATCCTAAAAATTCTATTAAAAATTTTACCAAATATCTCACATGAGTGTGGGACCCACATGAGACCTACATACCCATGTGAGATATTTAGTAAAACTTTTGATAAAATATTTAGGGTCTCTACCATTACTCTTTTGAATCATTGTGAGCACACAACACAATAAAGTTGAGGACTATAATGAGAAGCAACTTACGAATAAATGGTTTGGGAGTTTGTGTGCAAAGGTGATTAATTGATAGATGTTCTTGTCAGTTAATCCAATTATCTTTTTAGGTATTCATTCACCAAGTCGTAAATATTCTCTCCTTCTTTCCCTCTTCGTATGCTACATTCATTATGGTTATTTCTTTGTTTGTTCTTAATTTTTTTTTTTATTGAAACCTATGCACCAAAGAAAGTAAAGTCGAGGTTGCACAGCTCTCAAGATTATAAGGCTACCAGTAAATCATGTAAGTAGTAAATCTATATACGTTTTTTCTTTCTGTTTAATTTATTTAGATTAGAAATTAAATTTAAATTAATTTTTTTTATGTTGTTGACTTTGTTTTGCTTTGTATATATTCCCATGCTATTACTAATTTGAATTGATTCTTACAACTTTGCATTGTTGTGGGATAGAAAACTATAAGGATTTTTTAATCTAAAATGCTCTATTAGCCCTAAAACATTAATCTAAAATTTTAATTTTTGAAATTTTAGTAAATACACATGGCATAGAAATATTAGTCCATCTAACAATAGCTATAATTTTGAAAATTAAAAATCTTAAAATAAAATGTCAAAAATAAATTTTAGCCATCTAATTTGAAAGTTAAAAACATTTAACAGAAATTCCAAATATAACCTTAGTCTAATATAATTTCAAATTTTAAAAATATTTATTTCAAAAAAATAAAAAAATTGAAAAGCATAATTTTGTGTTTTCCTGTTCTATATTTGGGTGATTCTCTCCTTTAAAATTTCAAAAATTATGGGATAGTTTTCATAATTTTGAATTTTAAAATTTATTTCTTGACAGGCTAACCAATTAGATTTTTTTTCCCAATTTTTAAGTCAAAAAATTAGGAAAATTAGTTTGAGAGATTAGAGCGCTCAAAAATTAGTTTGAGGAGATTTTATTTATTTATTTTTTAATCCAGATATTATGTAAGACACATGAATAATTATTATTTTTTTAAATTGAAAATTTGATTTTAGGCAATGATCAATTTGAATTGATCTTTTTATTTTATTTTATTTTAGGTAAAGATGTTAGAAGATTTTGAAGAAATTTTATTTATTTAATTTTTAATTGAAAAATTATATGAATAGATTTGAATTGATCTTTCTTTGATTTATTTTAGGGAATGAAGGATTTTAAGTAAAGAATTTAGAAGATGGGCAAATAATTAGTTAATTCATTTCTTTAAATTGGAAGATCAACAAACTGTGTGTATTTGATTGTAGGAAAGGATGAATTTAGGCAATTATCTTAGAGATGTGTTTGAAGAGATTTTATTTATTTATTTTTAAAATTTTAAAAAAAAAATTCTTTATTTATTTTTTTAATTCAAAAATTATATGAACAGATTTGAATTGATCTTTCTTTGATTTATTGTAGGGAATGAAGGATTTTATGTAAAGATTTTAGAAGATGGGCAAATAATTAGTTAATTCATTTCTTTAAATTGGAAGATCAACAAACTGTGTGTATTTGATTGTAGGAAAGGATGAATTTAGGCAATTATCTTAGAGATGTGTTTGAAGAGATTTTATTTATTTATTTTTAAAATTTTAAAAAAAAAATTCTTTATTTATTTTTTTAATTCAAAAATTATATGAACAGATTTGAATTGATCTTTCTTTGATTTATTGTAGGGAATGAAGGATTTTATGTAAAGATTTTAGAAGATGGGCAAATAATTAGTTAATTCATTTCTTTAAATTGGAAGATCAACAAACTGTGTGTATTTGATTGTAGGAAAGGATGAATTTAGGCAATTATCTTAGAGATGTGTTTGAAGAGATTTTATTTATTTATTTTTAAAATTTTAAAAAAAAAATTCTTTATTTATTTTTTTAATTCAAAAATTATATGAACAGATTTGAATTGATCTTTCTTTGATTTATTGTAGGGAATGAAGGATTTTATGTAAAGATTTTAGAAGATGGGCAAATAATTAGTTAATTCATTTCTTTAAATTGGAAGATCAACAAACTGTGTGTATTTGATTGTAGGAAAGGATGAATTTAGGCAATTATCTTAGAGATGTGTTTGAAGAGATTTTATTTATTTATTTTTAAAATTTTAAAAAAAAAATTCTTTATTTATTTTTTTAATTCAAAAATTATATGAACAGATTTGAATTGATCTTTCTTTGATTTATTGTAGGGAATGAAGGATTTTATGTAAAGATTTTAGAAGATGGGCAAATAATTAGTTAATTCATTTCTTTAAATTGGAAGATCAACAAACTGTGTGTATTTGATTGTAGGAAAGGATGAATTTAGGCAATTATCTTAGAGATGTGTTTGAAGAGATTTTATTTATTTATTTTTAAAATTTTAAAAAAAAAATTCTTTATTTATTTTTTTAATTCAAAAATTATATGAACAGATTTGAATTGATCTTTCTTTGATTTATTGTAGGGAATGAAGGATTTTATGTAAAGATTTTAGAAGATGGGCAAATAATTAGTTAATTCATTTCTTTAAATTGGAAGAGGGACAACGAAATGATTACCAAAGGATATAAGCAGACGTTGAAGACGAGAAAAAGGTTAAGTTCTCTATTTCTAATTCATATCTCTACATTCCACTTCTCTCTCTAACTTGTTCGTCGGAGGTTCGCTAGGGGACTCCCCGTTGAACTCCTGTGCAGGTTCTCAGGTGGGCTTGGCCATTCAGATATCGGTTGAAGAAGCGTGGACCAGTCCGACCCATTCCTTCTAGAACCCGTTGTATCGTAACTGTATCATCAGTTGGCGCCGTATGTGGAAAGCTTTGCTCCGCGCGCCAGTTGTGCTCATTGTCGCCGGGGACCCTATTTTAATAACCTTTCCTGCTACCCATTAACGTGTATGGTTACGACTAGATCCATGGCTTCTCACCAAAATGCTGCCGACCATCAAGCCGACCCCCCTAATCCAAACAATCCACTACAGTATTTCATCAAGCTTACCAACAGCATCAACCGCATGGCCGAACAAAACCAAGCCCTGATAAATGCTCTACCCCAAAGGGACCTTCCTATGCCTCCTCCACCACCGCCAGATATTCCGCCCAACCAAGAACGAGCCCCGAGCCATACTATCCCGCAGCCCTATCCACCTAACTTGGAAGGCCTGCAACCTCTTCCTCCTCATATAAATCCACCA